ACGACGTACGTGGTGGTTGGCGCCGAGGTCGGTGGTGGGTTGATCAACTTGAGCGATTTGGGGATGGTGGCAGTAACGTCCTGGGTGGCCAGTCGGGTAGAGAGGGTGTTCATGCGAGTGAAGTTGTCGTTGTACTGCGCTGCCAGACGTCTGATCTGAAGATGGACGCTGGTGATCTGGCTGTTAGCGTGAATGTTGTCCTTCTGACCCCGCGCATGCTTCCTCTTGGACATGACTGTCGCTGACTTACGACCTATCAACTGCTTGAGGGTGGCGATGAGGTCGTACGCAAGTCCCACCCTGATCTGCATCTCTCCAAAGGCTAGCTCCAGGCACTTGGAGCGCTTGAACACGTCCTCACCTAGATCCGACGGCAGAGCGAGGATCTCTACCTCCGGCCCTTCCTTGGGCAAACCATAGGTATCGTTGTCCTCACCATTGTCCGCATCAGGATCCTCATCCTCACTGTCCACTTCCTCGACAACCAAGGCCTCATCCAGGGCAGGCATACAGCGCTCCTGCTGTTCTCTGAACTTGACGATGCGCTCCCGCAATGTCGCTCGCGCAGAGCGCAACCCTCGTGTAGTCTCGTCAGAAGCCCCTTGGCCACGTCGCGTGCGATAGAATGCTTCTACACGAGCCTTGACCGTCACCCTGAGGGGAGTTGTCTTAACGGCATCCACTTGTTGTAATGTGACGTATGGACCTACTGGTCGCATGAGATCTGGATCCCCATGTGGATGAACTTCACATCCAGGGGGGTAAGCCTCACGCGCTTTCCCCCTGCTTTGGACACAGCCTTGTCAGCATTGGTGGAAGTTACCGAACGGGCAGATTCCATCAGCGCCTCGTAGGCTTGGCCCTCGCTAGGAACTTCCCTAGCTAGTCAGATCTTTGTCCAGTGATTCGATCCACGTAGACACACCTTTGCTCTTATCGAGAACGTAAACACTTTGAAAGGTGGCGCCCCTCCGTTTGACACGTCGCTTATAGTCAGCAGGTGTGAACGCCTCCTCGTTGATGTCCTGTTCAGCCCATTTGCAGATGAGGTCAGGACCAGCCGCCTACGTCAGGCCGGCGAAGTCCACCGCCTGATCGAGTTGAAGGAGTAACTTCTCCCCCAGCTTGTGAGCCAGGTACTCAGCTGTGGGGGAAACGGTCACCGTCTGCGCTCTTTAGAACTAACGAGACTCACCCAAACCCTGCATCTTGTCCCAGTTGTAGTCATTGATGCTATCGCAGATCGCATCGTGGCGGGCACCCCCGTTCATCTTGCGAGTCGCGACGCCGATCTCATTCAGAATAGCCCAGGCGATCTCGACCGTCTCGCCGTTGCTGTGGCCGGTACCTTGCTTGTAGCACATTGCGAAATTGATCTGACAACTCTCCTTGTGGGCGAGCATGTGCATTTGCGGGAGGAGGATTTTCATGCATGCGAGGACCTTGCGCATCTCCAGGGGCAGGTTCCACTCGTCCCACCTGTTCATAAGGCCGACGAGGTACGTACATCCCACATCGTAGCTGAGCAAGTGCTCAAGCAGCTTGTACGCGCTCTCAAAGGCCCCACACATAGCCAAATCTACGAGGTGGAATCTAGAGACCCAGTGGTCAGGAGCGGGACCCTGGTGTTTAGCAAGAAGCAGGGACTCACTGCTCGTTCCCAACAAGATCAACCACCGCTCTAGAGAAGAAACAACCATGGCGAAGACAGGTAATCGCGACCACCCCGCTGATGTCCATGTTGCGGAACTTGCCCGCTCGTTGGGATCGAGTGACCTTGAACCCACTGCATGTTTGTACCTGGTTTTGAATGCTGAGTATGGGTATGGTCAGATAAGCATGTGAAGCATCCTCACCACAGTGCGATCCTTCGACGTCTTCTTAGCAAAGGCAGCCATCCTTTCTGCGTCGGCGAAAAACGCACGACCGCCAGCCAAACTGTAGTCGGTCTTGTCGTCACGCTTAGACTTTTTGTGCAAACTGTGGTTGCCGTCCGCACCCATGAAGATGCGATAGATGTATCTGACAAACACCGCCGCTTAAGCAAGACAGCACATGAGACGTGTTCTGTGAGGCACACACCGCAGACTCCCGTGAGGTGTTCTCCCAATTCTCAGGGAGGTTCACCCCAGGCCAAGGGCACGCGAAGCAAGGGACAGTGAT